AACATTAATTGCAATGTATGCTCATAATAGAGTTGATACACTTCTCATTAAAAAGATACAAGCACTAACCCCACGTTGTGAAGGGTTAGATAGAGTTGGGTGTTGAAGGTAAACTGCTACAGAACACAGTTTCAGACGAGACTGCTGCTTGGCCTTGTGTGTCAAACAGAAATAAAGACTTCATTGTGTCAGTTAAAGCTGACGTCAGCATGAAGATAAAACATCTCTGGTAACATTTATAAGTGGGGATGGGTTTTCTGATACAGGACAAGATCCCTGACTTGAGGTTAATTCCGCTGTGGCCAAATGGATGGACGACGAGGAGAACAAATCAGCAAGCACTAAGTCTAAACCACAGCATCTCCCCATCAATAACCAACCACAAATATGTTCTGTTTTCATGTGTCTAATAAATGCTTCTCTGTAAGCAGACTGAGAGTCCACAGCTGTGCAACGCAAACCTTTAACTGCCTGATAATAAAATAGTGTGAACTCCTGAACTTCTCTCAGCAAAAAAGAAAACCACTCAAACCTAAGAACACAGAGCAACTGTACAGCACGGTGGTAGCATCACACCCTGGGGCTGTTTAGCTGTGAGTGGTACTAGTAACATTACACATTAAGGAATAAAGAAGAAGAGAACTACCTCAAAAATCTTCACCTTAAATAAACATCTAGGTGGTTGAAACATAGACAGTCAGGTGTTCCAGCAGGACAAGAGCTGCTTTTTATGAGATAAAGCAGGTGAACACTGAGCTTCTGGTCTTCTTAAAGCCTTTCTCGAGTTTAAAGAAACGACCAATTCTGCCAAGAGGATATCCATCCTGAATTATGAGGAAGCTTGTTAATCCAAATTGTGCACCCAATTCTTGTTTTTTAAAGCCATTAAAGATGTAAGCGGTGCAAAGATTCCACAGTTCAAAGAAATCATCAAACGCCTAAAATTATCATGACATTCATGGGTGGGTGTGAACTTCTGACCACAGAATATATGGACTGTGACATTTTTTTAAGTATTACTTTGCTCCGTGTATGTTCACTGTGCGTGTCCAGCCCTGATCTTACCAAGTGCATAAAATCGTCTGTAGGAAACAATTAAAGCGGAAACCCCAACTGTTTTCTTTCTCTTCTTTTTAAATATGAATTTCAGGCCTGAGTTAGAGGGCTTTTCCACTAGTTGGGGATTTGAATCTTTCCTCAACTCAATTTCAAACTCAAACACACCACCACACAAAGAATTAATACATTTAACGTAAACTTGGAGATTAACGATAACGTGGCAGCAATACTTCAATCAATACACCCAACATGTGCTAAACCTGAGAGGATGCATAAGCAGGGCCAGATTTGAAGTCTGTAAGTAAAACATTTCACTTCCTGGACCTGAATCATCCCACCAGCTGACCTTTGCGTGTGCAAAGTATAATCTTTCACACTAGCTCATCAGTTTCGCTCTCGTCTGCGTGTTTACGCTTTGTTTACAAATACAGGCTAACCACTGAAAGCTCGCGCTAACGTGCCGACTCGCGCACCCTTACTCCGTGTT